CCCTTGTTCTTTTGCTGCAAGAAGACAAATTTTAGAACTTGGTTAACATCTGTGTCCTGTGGCGTAGCTTCCACAGGTGGTTTAGCTACTGTGCTTGTAAATGTAAATGACAGATTTATTCCAAATTTGCAGTGTAGAAGGTTTTAGTGGAATTATTTAAAACATTATAGAATGTTAACTGATTATATTTTTCCCTTTTTATGATATATCCTGCTTAGTCTTCAGACACTCCAACAATGACCACACAGTCTTCATCTCCGGAATTGGAGATTGGTGCCCTTTTTTAAAGATTAATTTCTTAGTGGTACTAATGTAATTCATTATTTCAAACATTATTTTAAAATCTTTATATGTTGTTTTTTTCCCTTAAAATCTTAATAATAGTATTATTTATTAGATCTGTCAGTCTGATATAGTGATATAATAAGTGCCTTCAGAAAGTTCAAAGCATAATTTGTTTTCATGCCTTGCTCCAACAAGAATCAGAGGATTACAAAGACCTCCCTAGTGAAGGTAACACTCAACAGAAATTCTTTATAGGTGAAGACTTGGAGTTTCTGTGGCTTTTTTTCTCTAACTGTATGACTGCTTTATTTCTTTTACTCTTCAGTAAGGGGATACTGAGCTCTCAAATTTGTCCAAATGAAAAAAAAAATAAATCCTAAAATGTGTTTTACTAATGAACAGGTTTTAGATGTCAGTTATTTCTTAATGTTTTGAGAAAAAAAACAACACCAAACACTTCTAGTTTTAAAGAAGAAGATATCATTTATTACAAAAGCCATTAAATTAAAAAATGTACTTCACATTTTGCCTTATTTTATTTGGAAAGTCAAATTCTTTATGTGTTTTTAATTTTTCTTTTCTCTCTCAGGTTCAACTGCTATAGAAAAATACTTTATAGCAACCCAGTTCAGACCTTAAGGGACTATAAACATGTGGCATTGCTCAGTCTAAATGTTGACCAAAGTGGATCTAAACATACAAAAATTCTAATATCTCTTCAATAGCTGAAAAGAAAAAAAAATATTTTATTAGAACCTTTAGGGTTTTTTTTTTTAGTTCAGTAAATTAATCTTTGAAAATGGTTTTTAGAGGTGATTTATTTCCCTTGACTCCTTCTGCTTTATTTTTCTCTCAGAGTACAATGACATAAATGGGAATTTTCTGTTGGATTCATGGTACCTCCTCAGACCTCTAGTCCTGTAATTAAATCCTTAATAATTCAAAATGCTGTTAATCCCTTGTTTAGGGATTAGTAATTTTCATACATAGTTATCCTTGAACATGTGGAAAGAAAGTTTCACATAGAATATTAATAATGTTAAAAAAGTCAATTTCTGGTATATTCCTCACATTATTTTCAGCTGCAAAGATTCAGTCATACAAAACTATGAAATTGTATACCGTGGAAGTTCTTTAGGGAATAACTCAGTTTAATTCACTGAATCTTATAAACTATGACAATATTCACCTGTTTATATTTGCAGCAGTTGAGTGAATAAGTAACAAAAGCAGGAAGAGAGTAGAAGATGCTTATTAATAATGCTTATTAAATATGGTTAACAATGGTAATAATTTAGCATGTAAGCAGCGGATGGTTTTTATCCAAACTGAAAAATGTCAAAGCTAGCACACTACGCTATTTTGAACTACTTTACTTTCTAGGAGTCCACAGTTTGATTTCCATGCTGTTAACAAGTCATTGTTCTCACTGTCAGTGAGTGTGAAGTGTGAAGAAAGTGTGAGTGTGAGTGTGAAGAAAGAAGATTGTGGATAGGCCTCCTGAAGAAAACTTTTCCCCTAAAATAATCAACTAGTCCTATCCCACGATAAGTGAGATAGACCTTAAAGTAGTTTGTTCTGCCACTCAATGATTTCCTGAACCAATTAACTATTAAATATTTTAAATTTCCTTTATTACTGTCATCTTTCTAGCTCCATCTGAAGTGATTTTTTCATTCGATGTTGGGAATGGACCTAGCGAAGTTTCAGTGCAATCACTCACTTTCTTAAATGACAACCAGTGGCATTATGTAAAGGCTGAACGAAACATCAAAGAGGCATCCTTACAAGTAGATCAGCTTCCTCAAAGATCTCACACTGCTCCACCTAATGGGCATATTCTCTTGCAGCTCAACAGCCAGCTCTTTGTAGGTAGGTACTCATTCAACAAAATCTATTTTAGTTCTTATCATGAAAGCATGAAAAGGAAAAAAAAAAAAAAAAAAAAGAGTTCGCAACTGGGTTTTTTAAAAGAGAGCATTTGAGAAAAATCCATGTAGATATAGCTCTATTTTGAGAGAATAAATAAATAAATCTGTTCCTTTGCCTATGGGTACTAATAAACAGGTTTTCAACCAAACTTTTCTTCTTTTGAGGTTTGAAGAACAACTAAAGAATCTCCATTTGCATCATTTTTAAATAAGATGTCCTTGTCTGAAGGAAGATGTGTTACTTCTGTAATTTCAAGGAAATTATACTGCCTCTCTTCATCCACAGCTTCATCCCAGAAAAGTTGTGAATGTCCCATCAGTGGAAGATTTTAAAGCGAAATTGGATTGGACAGGGCTTTGAGCAACAACCTAATGAGAGATATCCCTGCCAATGGCAGAGTATTGGACTTGATAATTTTTAAAGGTCCCTTACAACCCAAACCATTCTGTGATTCTATGATCTATGATTATATGATCATTGCTAGCTGCCCTTTGCTAACACATTGAATTAAATAATCAGCACTAGATGCTTAGTACTAGAGACAAGAGAAAAGGATTATTCTGTGATTTCACACAATTAGGAAAAATCTAGATCTATAGTTCTGTCGTAACTGCGAAAACTTCAAAGGAAAAGTGTAACTGAATATTTCAGCCCTGTACTTGAGCAAATGAGTTTTTAATGTGCTTATATAAAACACTGGAAAACAGAATAAGAATAACAAAACAGTATTAATATGTCTTAACTATAACACAGACCTATGAAGAGCTATGTGTCATGTACATGGTTGTGTTCTTTGAGCAATATTGCCATATTGTGAACTTAAATGTTTATGGTGTATATGTCTTTCATACAGTATAATATATATATATAATATATATATAATATATATATATATAATGTAAACTCTGACTTACTTTATCTAGATCTGAGACACACTAAAACTATGTTTTATTTTATATGTGTTGTGAAGAAGTGTAATTAAGAGGAACACTCTAATGAAACCATGAGTGTGGAAAGGTACTGGAATAGGTTGCCTAGGGGTGTTGTAGGTGCCCCCTCCCTGGATGTGTTCAAGGCCAGGTTGGATGAGGCTTGTGCAGCCTGGTGTAGTGGGAGCTGTCCAGGCTCATAATAGGGGCTTGAAGCTAGATAATCTTGAAGGTTCCTTCTAGTCTTAACCATTCTATGATTCTATGATTCCATGATTCAACTAGTTACAGAAACTGTGGCCACTGAGGAAAAAAATAAATGGAGAGGGAAACATTGTATATTGGGGCAGGAGTTCTAATCTGTCCCTCAAAAGGCATTAAGGATAGAACATGGGTATTAGACCTAACACTAAAGAATTATTTTTTTTTAATTTTATATTGTATGTATATTATTTTGCATTAGAGGTATGGGGGAGGGTTCTGTAACAAAGAAGATATCCAACATACTAGCTACAGTGCAGTTAGAAAAAAGTCTTAAAAGTAATTTATATTCACAATAATGAACTAACTCTAGGAGATTTCTGTATACTATTCGACAATAAATTATATCATCTTCTGACTTGACTTACCATATAACTGCTATTATATGAACAGTTTAAATTACATCACTTTGAATCTGTAAAATCTGATTTGTGAACAAGACTATGAAACAGTTTAATTCTACAGGTGTTTATTGCAATATCAAGTCTAATTTATTTTTTTTTCTAATGGTTTTGACAATTAATTGATACGTGGTTCTTCTCACTTTTTTCTCAAACAATCTAATGTTGTAATAACCTGTATCAACAGTGGCACTTTCTAGCATTTTTTATGAATCAATTAGCCATTGAATAGAGCTAATTCTTATTTATTTATTTGTCAGATAATTTTATGAATTCCAGTAAATTAAGATACCTTAATTTCCTTAATGGAAGTGACAACTTAGAAACAGTTTTGAGTTATCTACATGCAAGCTGTACAGCTTGTTTTTTTCGCCTAATATTCTGATAATTATTTTGAAAATTTTGGAGCAGAACTAGTAAAAATGGTATTTGTTTCATTTTTTTCAGTCAAAACAGTGTTTCTGAAATGCAATATGACAAATAATAGTGATTCATATCAGTACTTTGTGTCATGCATTTCCTGAATACTATATTTGACTGTTTGCTCTGACCACACTAAGATTTTTGGGTAATGTGTTTCTGCAACTTCCATACCCTTGGGTGGATCAGTGTGGTGTTTATTTAACTTTGGCTTTGAATTAAGAATCTTTTAGAAAATACAACTTTTTGCAACTCCCAACTGTTCGTAATATATTTTCATTCTTCAATTACATTTCCACTTAAGCCAGTGAAAGGATCTAGAGAAAAAGGAGACATAGTGTGTCCACACAAGAACATTAACAGAAGCATTCTTAAATATAATCTTGTTTGACTAGTACCTGCCATAGTGACCCTAACAGACTAGGCCTGTGAATTCTTCAGGCTGAAACACTTTTCTTTACTGCTTATCCAAATATAGTTTGGTTTTCTAAAGAAAACAGAAGAACTAGAGCTTAAAGCTACCATCAAAATGCTCTTTTTAGCAGAGACAGGGTAAAATCTTCATATTGGTGAGATGGTTTTATGCCATTATAGGTATAACTAACAGCAACTATGACAAGATTTTCCATGTAACACCAAGAATTTCACAAACTTTGAAGTAGAAAAGGATAAAAGCAGATTACTACATTAAAACATATAACAAAAAATTAATTGGAAATGCATGAGAATTATAGGTAGTAATCTTACAAACTGTGGAGTATTTTTTCCTTTTTTTTCTCTTTCTCTCTCTCTTTTTTTTTTTTTTTTTTTTTCCCCTTCCTGATTTGTTTGTTGTGTTTCTTTTATCCTTTTTTGGTTTGTTTTGTTTCTTGTTTTGTTTGGTTTTTTGTGTGTGTATGTGTTTTGTTTTTGTTTTTTTTTTTGTTTCTTTCCTTTTTACCTCTCCTACCCCCCTCTCTTTAGGAAAGAAAAAAAAATGGAAACCACTTAATTTCTGGATGTTACTCCTTTGTGAATTAATAGAAGTATAGATCACTGCTTGGTATCTTGCTGTTTAAAATCCTGGTTTCCCATTAAAATCTTTAAATACTTGGCTAACACTGTAAATACTTGGCTAAAAAGAAATAAAATATGCTTTTAAAGCTAGTTATAAATACTTTAATATATATAGGCCTGTATCTTGGAATTTTTATTAGATTGTTCAGGGGCTATAAATTGTAAAGATGTTTTGACACATCAATTCTTTCAAATTTTTACAAGCTCATATGAATGTATTTCAGGTGGGACAGCATCCAGGCAGAAAGGATTTTTGGGATGCATTCGTTCTTTACAATTGAATGGAATGGCCCTCGACCTGGAAGAGAGAGCAAAGATAACACCAGGAGTTGAACCAGGCTGTCCTGGACATTGTAGTACTTATGGTAACCTGTGCCACAATGGTGGAGAATGTAGAGAGAAATACAGTGGATTCTCCTGTGACTGCACTTTCTCTGCCTATGCTGGGCCATTCTGTAAGAAAGGCAAGTATGTTGTTTAGGTTTAGTAATAATTAAAACCAGGACAATAAATCCCCAAACAGAATCTTTAGAGTCATTTAAATGCTTACAAATACACAAATGCTCACAAAATAATTGTGTATTAATTAACGTAGAAAAGCATTCAACTGTGATTTTTTAGTAAATATAAGTTTTGTTAAACACTGTTTTCCAGAGCCACATTGAACATGTACTGTTCGAAGCATGAACCACAATACCCAAGAGAGCGAGCATTGTTTCTTTAATGTTATGCAACTCCTTTGATTGTTTATATTATACTAAGGCTAGGAACTATAAATTTATATGAAACTTTTAGGTTTCTGTCTTTCAAGTTTTACTCTCAAAACTAAGACAAAATTTGGAAGACAAACCATGTAGAAGAAAACCTTTAAACTTTTTTCTACTATAAGAAGAAAGTGAGACCAAAGGAAACAGGACTGAACCCAAGTTTTCTGTCATTCTAAAGGAGATCTTTGGTGATGGTAATTAGTAGATGATCACAAGTTGGCAATTTTGAATTTTTAGCATGGAAATTTACTCAGAACATTTGGTATTTGCATATAATGCTAATCTGCTAAAAATTATTTATTCCATGTATAAAATGCATTCTAGAAAGCACTAAGTGGCTTAAGTGCCACAACTCCTCGTGCCTCTGAATTAGTAAACACAGTATCTGTCCAGCCATCGCTGCCACTGCAAGATAAAAGGACTTGTGTGAATTGCTTCCATATTCATTGCTGTACAGATCATGCCATTGAGTGAGGAATGATACTTTCCTCCTCCTTCACAAACAGCAGAAAAAATAAATGGTCACACTCCATGGTTATTTTTCTGCATATTAATACTTTGTTTCTGAAAGACTGAGATGGCCTACAGTAATAACTTTCAGTCACATTCTGTCAAAGTCTCTGAGCCAGATTACAGAAATTTCCAGAAAAATTTTGTGAAGTTAAGATTATGTATGTGAAAACAGAATAGTTTAAGGCAGTTACTTTTACTAGAGACTGTCCATGATATACCATTGAGGTACATAAACCTCTATCAGTGATTCATTCATAGCAAGATTATAACCCAATTTCTGTTCTGCTTCTCTTTCTTCCTCCTGACCAGTGTCTTTTCCCACATATGTGTTTAAGGCATGATCAAGTTCAATCAAAATGTTAGGATTCAAATGCTGCATCCATTTCTCTGTAGGAGCAGTATACAAGACAGGACAGACTGGACTTGAGCACGTGGATAAACAGGGAAAAAAACAAAAGCAACAACAAGGAAAAACTCAAAAAAACCCAAATAAAATAAAACCAAAACAAACAAAAAATTAAGCCAAACCAACCAACCAACAATCCCCCCCCCAAAAAAACCCCCAAACCAACAGACAATAAACAGCAACAAAACAAAATCACAACCAAAAGAAAACATGTTCAAAACTAGTCAAAAAGAAGCACTTTATGCAACAGATATTTAACTTATAAATATAACTGGGCTTTTGCACTAGTACGGGCTGGATCTTGTTTTTCACTATAGTTCTAAATATTAGTCGTATTTCTAATTTTTTTTTCAGCTTTATCACAATAGTTAAGAATACATTTAATCTTTCCTGTGTCAGGGAAGAAAAAAACCCACAGCGTTAAAAAACAAAAAAACTCACCAAAACCCACAAAAAACCATGTTATATTTTAAATACATTCTATTCAAATATCAAATTGTGTTTTGTTTCAGAGATCTCTGCATACTTTGGGACCGGCACTTCTGTGACATACAATTTTCAAGAATACTACACCTTAGCTAAAAATTCCAGTTCTCACGCTTCTTCTTTCTATGCTGACATGACACTGAGCAGGGAAGCAATTACATTTGCCTTCCGAACAACACAGACACCAAGCTTATTGCTGTATGTCAGCTCCTTCTACAAGGAATATCTGTCAATCATTCTCACCAGAAACGGTGAGTGTTCAGATAGGCTATCTGGAAACACTAATGTAATCATGCTGGCTAAACTACATTTGTTTTTCTGGAAATCCATTAGAATCTAGTAAAATATTTCAGTTATTTTTAAAGGTTTGAAAGAAAACACAAAATGTATCTGATTTATCTGCAACTCACGTTGCGTATTATTTGCCACCCTTGTGACAAATAATAAAATACTTTTCACAAGTGCATTATCTATTTTTCAAATTAATCAGAGCTATTTCATTCAACTAATATCATGAGATACTTATATGCCTATGAGATTACTAATATACACTTTTGAAAATAGACATAGTGTAATTGATGTATTCATTTAAGCTGAATATTAAACTTAAGTTGGATTTTTCTTTTACATTTTTTGTTCTACATTTAGACAATTCTATGTATTTATTTGTATTTTTTTAAATTAAGAAGAACCACAGACTAAGATAAATCTTTCAGTTTATCAAAGACATTGCAATCACAGTGATTCTGTGCTTTTCTGGATACAGATTTGGATGCAGAATATCTGTAGTATCCCCACCATCACAGGTGGAAGTATACATTTTACTCATTACTTGCCTGGATGTGGCTTGGACTTTGCTTTTCAAAGGATGATTAGCAAATTTTAATCCATTTAGAATTAGTAGGAGTCTCTGACAAGGAAACCACAGTGCCTTTGTGTTCTGCTGTAAGAGTCTCCATGTAATTAGAAGCATATAGACAGCATGCTGGGAGTTAGCAACGAGAAATGTTAAGTAAGCTAGGAATTATTGACCTTATCCTACAGATTTGCCACCTGATTTGGGGTTTACAGGTCTGGACAGTGTAAACTATTGAGAAATAGTATTTGTAAGGTACTGAGTTTCATCTGATAAGTCACATTTATAAGATGTAACAGACCAAGTCTTTCTAGGATGAATTACAGAAGTATAAAATTTCTGCACAAATTTTAAATCATCATTCTGAATTGTGACAGTTTATGGCTTCTACATCCTACATCTTTGCCTCTACATCCTACTTCCAACATTGCTATTACTTTTCCTGTTGCTTCCTTTCATTTCTCACTTAAATAAATTAATTGTAGTTAATTCCTTGAATAAATCAAACATTTGTTTTACTCTTCAAAACATCTGTGAAGCAAGAGACATTGTATATGATACACACTGACTGTTGCGTGTATGTAGTACTATACCTTTTGCTCTATCCCTGCAGGAAGTTTACAGATCAGGTACAAGCTAGATAGCCATCAAGATCCTGATGTCTTTGGCATCAATATCAAAAGCATGGCTGATGGACAACTGCAGCACATGACCATCAAAAGAGAGGAGAGAAGGCTCTCTGTAGAGGTAATTCAGTTAGACAAAAACAAAACCAAAAAAATCCTACATGAAAATAATGGGTTATAAAAAAAACGTAGAAGATCCGTAACAAAAGGAAGGAAATAGTTAAAACAGGGCAATTACCACAAACTATGTTTTAGTTTCTGAAGTATATAAAGCAAATATTAGCAGACTCAGGATGCACAGTGAAAGTCTATGTTAGACAGCATCTTTGGTGTTCATACTGTATATTTCAAAAGGTCAATACCTCCTCATAATTTTATACTAAATTTAAATTATTTTATGGCTGAATTTTTAAGATTCATGAAATGTATATGACTGCTAGAATTTGGTTTGGGCCTTGTATTTTTAGGGTTTTTTTCAAACTGTGTATCAAACTACAGTACAAATGTTTAACTATCAAATTAATACTGTAAGCCTACTTATTTATGTTTCTTCAGTCACTTTTATATCAAAGGAATGCAATTGCTAAGTAAAAGTTTTTCTTTTTTTTTGCAGAAATTTGTTGACTTTTTAGGTTAAAATTTAAAACCCCTGGATGTTATATGTTAGTATTTTGAGGCTAGAGTTGAGTTTGATTAATTATGCATTGGTACAAATCTTGAAGGCAAGTCGCTTGATAAGCACCCTGAGGGGAAGAGCATTTACAGTATAATATTTGATCTTTATGAACTACATATTGAGAATATATTTAAATGAAAAGAATATTTTTCAAGTTTTTGAAGGCTTGCCATTTTTATTCATCTTATAGGTGAAAAACAATGAATCAGTCAAATCAGTAAGACAAATAAACACCCATTAAGTGGGATGCTTAAGAAGTATCACAGCTAATAATGAGTGATCTGAGATAGCTGATCATCTATTTCCTGATTAGTTTTTTTATGCTATAACTAACAAATACTTCCTTCAGCTCCTTCTATTTTTAACTTTGATTTCATCTGGGATTTTTTTTTTCCAAACTAATATCTCGTCTGTTATTCCATTGTACTTTGTTCTTCACTGCACCATTCTGAAGATTAACCAAAATGAAAGAATGAAGTTTATTCTGTCTTCAGGAAGAGAATTCAATGCAATCAAGTCTCTCACACTTGGCAAGATTTTAGGTAAGTTGAACACCTCAAGATTTGTAAAACATAGGTCAAAATTTCATCACAGCACATGAAAAAAATTATTAACCTAATCTCACTGAGAGACATTTGTTGTCTTGGATTTAATTAGACACTGAGTCACAATCCAGGTAGAAACTTCAATCTTGTTGGAATAAAAATATAATAATGGGAAAATATTACCTGAAAAATTATAAAGTGTGTTCCATTAAAAAAAAATTCAGAGTTCTCACTCTCATTATACATTTAGCCAGTAAACTGCCTGCAAATGTGGCAATGGTTGCCCATTCTTTAAATATCTCCTGAAGTAAACTGAAGTGTTAGTAAAGACTTTTGTAGAAATAAATTCTGAAAACTGTAGTATGTGACATAGTAAAAATAGTTTTCTTCTCAACTTACTATAGATATTTATGATATTATTTTATACTGCTCCTCTGGGCCTATAGAACCTTCCTACAAGTTTTATATAACACCTACCCTAAACCAGAAGTTTGAAGAATTGTTTTATTTTCTTTCAGTTGTGTATGGTTCAGTATAGAGGAATTTTATTACTATGTAACTTAAGTGCTCCTTCAGGATCCATATACCTACCATTTTTGTATAGTACTTTTGGGAATAACAACGGCTTTGGTATATCAATATTTCTGACATTATAACAGACCCAGATATACTGTCCTGGCTATGACAGTTGAAAGTCTTCTTATGTTTTCACAAGGAATCTCCTCCTGACAAGGACAGTAGTATCTGAATAGATCATCATGCTACTGGCTGGGAGACATTAGGTCTCTGCCAGGTTCCGTCCACGTTCAAATAACATAAATAAATAAATAAAATAATACATTAAAAAAATATATTAAATTAGTTTCCTGTTCTATTCAGAGTAAATTTAGAATTTGATTCTTTCAGGCACACATCATTTGTGTCATTACACACACACAGAGAAAAATCAGTTCAAAATATACACTCTGTATAAGTATTCTCAGGTAGAAAAAAAAACAAACATGGCCTTCAATTTCGTAACAGAGAATATTTAAGATTTATTATTTAATGAATTATGTAAGATAATTTCTGACCTATTTTTTTGTTAGAACAGTAGATACACAAGACTGAGAAATTTGAATGTGATATGTCAAGTATAATTGATTTAATAGGCTTATGTGTAAGATCATAGATGCACAGAATGGTTTGATTTGGAAGGAACCTTAGCAGATCATTGAGTTCCAATCCCCTTCAAATAGGCAGGGAAGTCTTTCATTAGATCAGATTGCTCAAAGGCCCATATAACCTCACCTTGAACACTTCCAATGATACCACATCCACAGCCTGCTGAGGCAACCTCTTCCAGTGTCTTAACACATTAATCATCAACAAACAAACAAGATTTTTACTTGTGTCTAATATAAGTCAATTCTGTTTCAGTTTAAAACTGTTACTCCTTTCCCTGTCATACAGCCTGTTGCAATAAGTCTCTATCTTATAAACTGCCATTATATATTGAAAAATGCAATGTCTCCCCAGAGCCTTTTCTTTTTCTCTAGATAGAACAACTGCAACTCTTTTCAGCCTTTCTGAATAGGAGAACTGTATCAGTCTTCTTATCATCTTCATGGCCATCTTCTAGACATGCTCTAACAGGTCCATGTCCATCATTTGCTGGGAACCCTGTAGATGGAAGCAGTACTCCATGTAGCATCTCATGAGAGCAGGGGGGAAGAATCACTTCCCTTGACCTGCTGGCCCTGCTTCTTTTTACGCAGCCCAGGATATGGTTGGCTTCTTGGGCTGCAAGTGCATATTGCCAGCTCATACCTAACTTTTCATCCATCAGTATCCTCAAAACCTTCTCTGCAGAGCTGCTGTCAATCAATTCATTATCCAGTCTGTATTGATACTAGGGATTGCTCTGACTCAGGTGCTGGACCTTACTTTCGGCCTTTTTGAACTTCATGGATTTCGTGTTAGCCCTGGCCTGTCAATGTCCCCTGGATGGCTTCCCTTCCCTCTAGCAAATCAGCTGCATCACTCAGCCTAGTGTGAGCCTCAAAATTTCTGAGGATGTACTCAATCCTACTGTCTACGTCACTGAACAGTACCAGTCCCAGTGTGGACCGCTGAGGGACACCATTTTCTATAGGTCTCCATTCAGAAATTGAGCTGTTGAATGCAATGATTTGGTTAAAGTAATTCAGCCAATTCCTAATCCACCAAATGAATGTCTGCAGTTTTCTGTTCTGAGAGAGTTATCTAGCATAGGCGAACGAATAATTTTGAATATATAATAGAATGCATACAATGATAATGTTTTTCATAATTATGGTAAACAAATAATACATAGCTAAAAATTTATTAAATAATGGTATTTAAAGATTTTTTTTACAGGCTTTTAAAAACAAATCCTAATTATTTTTTAGTTGTGATTCGAAGAGTCTCAGTGTAACCGATCTGTTTTCTTTCTGGAAAAACAGGTTAAGATCTCTAAAAAACCCAGAAATGTATATTACTCTTAAAATACAAATTTCTTTTATAGAACATACAGTCCAGAAAGGAACTGGTATGTAGATATGCACAGAGAATGGAAAGGAGAATGATCATTTAAGCATAACTTTAAGGCAATATTTTATTAAATATAAACTACTAGAAGAAGATAATTTTTAAAATTTCAAAATTACATAAACAAATGGAAAAACTTAATCAAGAATTTATGATGTTTTGAAGTGCAGTAGACTATTATAGCCACACTCTTACAAGGGTAACATCAGAATTAAAAGGTTTGTCATCTTTGCTCTTTAATTCCATATCAAATCTTACATTGATTTACTTAAACATTTATTCAATGTGATGTAAACCAATGAACAATTTCAGGCAAATAGCAGGTCTTTTTGATCAGGACCAAAGTTGTCTCTTCCAAAGAAACAAAACTGTTATAAAGGTTCAGAGGTGGGAAATTCTTCAGTTGTATGATGGCTTTGCGTCATCACATCAGTGTGAAGCATGCAGTATCGGGCCACTCCAGCTCACATAACAGAATCTGTCCTGAAAAAGAGGTATGTTATAGTTCTCTCCCTTTAAAAGGAGATATGCTATTAAAGAACTGGTGTTTCTTTTATAAATTTTACTGCTTTGTGTGTTGATTCCTGTGAAGTCATGTCTAGAGATGGAGGGAGACATTGTGAAGAGAGTGAAAAAAAAAATAATGAGTGTTTGCTACAGTGCAGAGGTTGAAACAGGAGGAGAAACAACATAGGCAGTAATTTATTTATTGTCTTTTGAAATGTGGGAAAACGTATCAACATTTTTAAAGTAGGCCAGAAAATTATGTTTTCCATCTTCAACTGGAAAATTACTTGTCTGGTCTCTTCTGTAGTTATATATATCTCCATTTTTTGTTAAAATTTAAAGTTAAAAGTAAATACGAGATTTAGCTGTTGATCTAGTTTTGAAATCCCAGGGGGTGAGGGGATGAATAAAAAATTTTTAAAAAAATATAAAATCAGTGTTTTTCCTTACTTTCCAGAACCTAAGACTTCTGAATTTCTGTTATGCATCATTGTGACAAAATAGTCATAGAGCTAGGGCAAAGAAAAGCATCACAGTCAACCACAGAGTTCACAGGATGCAAACCAAAGCACTCTTTATGTTTTTGTTTTCCTTCTAAGAAGATGCTGTCTCTCAAGGCACCTCACACTGTAGAAATGCTGTAGAAACCTCTCTTTTTACAATAACCTGAGTTTCACAGGACAAAGCTTCCTATCCTTCCTAGGGTAAGGGTGGGGAGCTATGAGTGACATTCTTCTTATTTTGTAGTTTGTTAATCTTTCCATGCCAGCTGAGATAAAGATGGTCTTTCAGCAAGCTTTACTTAGGTCTTACTCAGAAAGATGTTTTACCAGCTTAAGATAATGTCTGATTTTAGGCTAATTCACTTAAATGAAGGCATACCACCAAATATGAACATCTGCAATTATATAAAAATCTGTTGTTCCAATAATAAATGAAAACAATTTTTTACTACTCTCTTGATAAGAAGGCTGTAGTTAAACCACTAAAATATTTTGTACCCACAGGATTCTCTGTGTATTCATACTATGTCATTCTACTTGTACTGAAATTGTCCTTTCTTGTATTGGTTTATTTGTCTCTGAACTTATAAGACTGTATAATACAGTTCTGTCTTTATGGGAATAGTTTTTGAATAATTAATAATGGACAGCTTTCTTAAGATCTGTATTATTATAGTTTTATTGATAAATGAATTACAGAATTGCAAAAATCTCACTGTGTTTTACTGATCTGTAAGAATAGAGTGACAATTCAAACTGTAATTTGAAAATCAGCATTTTAAAATACTAATGTCTGAGTATTCCTGAACAAGTGTCACAGTGAAGGATGCTAGATAATAGTTGATTTAAAAATGCCCATTTCTCAAATGCAGATTTTTTCCGCTATATGATTTTGGCAATTAATAGAGTAAAAAAAAAAAATTAAAAAAATTTCAATCTTTCAAAGCTGGTTTAGAAAAGTCTTTAATATAAGTCTGTTATTGTAAAATATATATATTTTTTTTGCAGCTTCCACAACTTAAAATACATATAATTGTACTCCAGTAGTTGTTATTTTTTTCTTCATCAGATTTTTAATTTAGTTGGCCAAGTTCATCAAGGCTTACTATATATTTTGTTGCAGTTCGTTCCATGCACATAATTAGTACGTCCAGCTGGTAACTTAACTGTGAAAATCACATTAATATTATTATTATTTTCTACTGAGTAGATTTGTAGAACTGTAGAATCACTTAACATCTCAAGTTGAAAGGGATCCATAAGGATCATTGAATACAACTTTCTACTTCTCACAGGACTAGGTAAACTAAACCATATGACTAAGTGGGTTGTCCAGATGCTCTGCTTCCCTGAGAAGGCTGTTCCAGTGACCAACCACCCTCTCAGAGAATAACCTTTTCCTAATATCCAATATGAACTTCCTCTGATGCAGCTTTA